AAAAAAAAAAAAAAAGGAAGGAAAGAAGGGATAATGGAAAAAGTGGAAACAGCTTTTGTACATTGGGAAGGGAAGGGGTATAGAGGGTATAAAATAAAATAAAATTTATTTAAAAAAAAAGAAAAGGAGTGTCCACAGGGGGGTGAGGTACATCCACTGCCTCACTCTGTGATCAAACTGTGTGGCTCTGCTGCCCTACAGGGGTTCCCCCCTGGTGGGGGTGGTGCCAAACCTCATCAGCAGACTCTAAGCAATTCCAGGCAGGCAGGCAGCAGACATGGGAGCGCCAGCAGATGGGGACAGGACATCAGCTGGCCAGACATGCGCGTGCCCAGAGCAGTAAGTCACCAGCTGGGCCCCATCCGTGTCCTGCTTCCTGGCCCTGAAGGCTGGGGATGGGCAGAGTTGGCACTCCAGAGGGGCTCAAACTAGGCCGGGGGAGGGGAGCCCTGAGGGAGGCGCCACATGACCCAGTAACCAGGATCCCAGGGCATCGCTAGTTTACAGCCTCAGTCTCAGCTCAGGGGACCGTCACAGCCCCGGGGGCGGGCTCTGATCTTAGGGTCAAGCTCTCTCCTAGGCTGGCTGAGGATACACAGCCCCAGAGTGAGGAAGCTGGCCACACAGGACTTGGGCCTGGCCTTGCTCCAGAGGGGGTCAGTCAAGGGTGCCCCAAATGGGGCTTTCAGCACAAGTGCCCCAGGCCTAGAAGGACCACACAGCTGCGGCTCTCCCAGAGCCACAGGCTCTCCTCCTGGCCACAGGGATATCATATCCTAGGTTTCAACACAGCACAGGTGAACACAAGCCTACAGCCAAGGACAAGAAAGACAAAATGACACAAAGCCACCTCCCATGCAGGCACCAGATTCAGTTGCTCCCAGCCCGGGGAGGTGCACAGCTACAGCATCCAAAGACTGGTGCTTTCTGAGACTGCATGGTCTCTCTGCCCAGCCCTACCAGGGGCTAACAGCCCAAGAACACCACGGCACAGAGACAGCCCTTAGGCCTGCCAACGACGGTGGGACAAGGTGAATCTCCGCAGCCCAGGACCGAGATCTCCCCAAGGTCAGTGCTCGTGCTGAGGGACTGCCAGCACTTGCTTCAGTCCTAGGGCCCAGAGCACCTTTTGTTCCCTACAGTCCGCCCTTTTCTGCTGGGACCCACTGCTCCTCGCACGGCTTCTGCCTTCCAGCCTGCCTCCTCTGGCGCCCCTCCTGCAGCCCCAGATGCAGCCTGGAGGCTGCCTAGCTTTGACACAGGCCATGCCCTTCGCCTGGGTCCCGTTCTGGCACCACTCCAGCTGGCAGCAGTTTGTGTCTGGCTAAGCAGAGCGAAATCTGAGTGTGTTTACTGGCCAGGACTGAGGAAGCAGGCATGCCCCTAGAGGCTGCATGGAGGGGCCCAGGACCACCGCTGGCAAAGTGAGCCAGGGGAGGACCTGGGCCTGCAGAAGTGCCAGGGATGCTACCAACCCCCAAGCCACAGGGGGCATCGGAGGCTGCGGCCTATTGCTCAGCAGTCAGGGGACGGGGCAGGGTGAGGAGTGGGCTCCATTTAGGTGGAACCGTCGGGGAGAGGACCCCAATGGAGAGGTCTTGAGAACCCACACAGCACACTGCTCTGCAGCCTCACCAGCAGGACAGCAGGAGCGGGAGTGTGAGGGGAGCCTCCTCCAGCTCCACACCCGACACCTTGAGCCCTTGTGTCCTCACGGTCATTTTCTCTGCAGGCACCACACTTTACCCATCATACCACATCCTTCTACTCTAAGATGCTTTTTACCCCCAAACCTTGAAATTGGCCCACACCTGTCAGTCACCATCATGTCAAAGTCTGGCAATGTTTTCTCTTTCTTGGTGGACCACAAAGTAAGGTGCAACTCCCAATAAAAGCGTTTCAGACTGGATGACCCTGGTCTCCTAGTCCAGGGACCCCCTTCCCAAAGCCCCTCCACCACACCCTTCTGTCCATCCACTGCCCCCCACCACTGATGTCCCCTGGGAAGGGGACACCTTGAGGGCACCAGTCTCCCCAGCTTGCGAGTGAGTACACAGACACCAGCACTGTGTCCCCAACACCTCTCCCCATGTCACTCACCAGTGGGCCACTGGCCAACCCCTCTGCTGCCATCAAGCCCATGGTCCAGGTGTTTCAGATTTTCTCAGGTGTCACCTGCTGCTGTACTCCCCAACCCCAGATGTAATCTCTGTCACAGAACCACCTTCCACCTGGCACCCCAGGGGACTTGACTGTTGTAACCGCATAGCCACAGAAGCAGAATAAACCAGGTCATCCACCCCTCTCTGGCTCAGCATCCTCATCTGAGGCAAAGCAGCCGATGGTGTGCTTGCCAGGCCCTCTTGCTCCAACATGGATAGAAGCATGGCCACATGAAGCCCCCACCTCAAATAAAGCCTCCCTGGTTCCTCTTCCTGGCAGGGTGATCCTACATATGGCTCTGGGACACCTCTGATTACTAAGCAAGACACAGAAGAGTTCTGGGCAAACTGGAATGTTGGACCAACATAGGGGAGTAGAGACTGAGACTGAAGAGACCACATTCACAACAGATACCTGTCGAGGGCTGACCACAGGGCACCCCGTGCTGGGTGCTTTACACAACTGCTCAGGTGCCAGAGTTAGCCAGCAAGAAAGCTCCTGACAACCCCTGCTTCATAAGGTAAAGCCACCAAGCAGAGGTGGACTCTAAGTGACCCTAGTCCTGTCCCGCCAGGGCCTCTAGAGCGATAGCAGATGGGCGAGACCCAAACGCTTAGACTGACCTGAGCCTCCCTCAGCTCTATCTTCCGCAGCTTCAGGACCTTACCACATGCTAGGCATGCATTCCACCACTAAGCTATGTCCCTAGCCCCTGCCTTAACTCCTGCCTGCACCCCAAGCCTGGCTCCTGCATGTCCCAAGTTACCCCCTCAGCAGGAACATCCACATGGCTCTGCTCAGAGACTGGCCCTCCACTCCAGACAAGACAAGGGTCTCCTCGAGTGCGTCGGTGTAAAAATCCCTCCTCTGTGGGACCCAAGGGCTTCAGAGACTTCCTGGGGGGAGGCCAGGCACGGGGGGGACAACAGCATGGGTGCAGAACCCATTTCAAATTCTTCTCACGACTCGGAGGGTCTTCCTGGACACCATCCACCCCAGGGACACTGCATACACAGGTGACACTGTTAACTCTAAGTGGTCTGATCACATGACGGCTGGCCATTCTGTTCCTTTTGAGTTCCTGGTACTGAAACTTCCCTGGGTCTCACTTCCATGTTGTGTCCTTTTCAGCCAATGAAACTACTAGAAAGTGACCTACCAGCCAAGCAGGTGCTAGAGGGACACTTGTGACAGATGCCACATGGACCAGGTGCTCCCCGAAAGCCCTCTGTGCCCTGCCCATCACTTGCTGCCCTCTTCATCACTCCACACCTGGAGGTCCTGGCCACGCTGACTCCTCCAGGTAGGGCTCCAGCTTCCCTCCTGCCCCACCTCTCACCCCCTAAATGCCCTCAGCAACCTCTGCCCGGAGGTCCACTCACCAGCCCTCACCTGCATCTCAGGGGCCTTGGCTTGAACTTGCCCTCTGCCCAAAGTTCACCCCAGTCAGCCTTGGGAGCAGCGGAAAGACCACCATTTCTGGGAAGTCTATCCTGGGGAGTACGGGCGCGTTCAGGCCCCTATCGCCACTGCCGTGACCTGTGTGGAAGTCCCTGCGGTCCTGTCCGGTTACTCTGCCCAGCGGGCCTGGACGGTGCCGCGACCCCGAAGAGCAGGGCAGAGCGAAGGGGAACGAAGCTCAGGAGAGCCAGCGCGGTCCAAGAATCCTCGCAACATCCCCAGGCCGCGGGGACAGAGGACATCGGTCCACCTCGGTACCCGGGCGGAAGGGCCCTGTCCACCGCGGCCACCCTCCCGGGCTCAACCTGTGTGGGTCCCTGCGGTCCTGTCCGGTTCCTCTGCCCAGCGGGCCTGGACGGTGCCGCGACCCCGAAGAGCAGGGCAGAGCGAAGGGGAACGAAGCTCAGGAGAGCCAGCGCGGTCCAAGAATCCTCGCAACATCCCCAGGCCGCGGGGACAGAGGACATCGGTCCACCTCGGTACCCGGGCGGAAGGGCCCTGTCCACCGCGGCCACCCTCCCGGGCTCAACCTGCC